TGATTTTTTTTAAATTCTCAAGTGACATACAAAATATGTGAATACTCACAAGAAATAAGACAATTTTAGCAAGATCCTAAAAAGGCTACCTTAATTGCAATTTTGAGTCTGGAGAATGGAATTAAAGCTAATGTTTATCCTAAAAAGTAGTCAGGCCACTTTAGTATTTCTGATTATATATATATTTAATACACCCTTTGCTCCAATATATATTAGTTCCAAATCAGGGCCAAGTATATTTATTCCAAAATAGTTCCAGTGTAACCTCTAATCTAACTTAGTTCTAAATGCCTTTGCTTTCTTACTGTGTGATCCTGATTTTTTAAATTTTGTTAATAACAATAGCTAACATTTACCAAGCACTTACCATGTATTGGGTAATGTACTTTATAATGCATTATTTTTTGAGATAGATACTAGTATTATCCCCATAATTCAGATACATTTATTCAACAAACTTTTGTCGTTCTTTACTATGTACCAGGCACAGAGGATACAACAGTTAATAAAAAAGGCAAATTCCCTGGCCTCAGAGAGCATTCATTCTTGTGGGCGAGAAAACGATAAAGGAATAAATACGTGTATTATGTATGGCGGCCATAAGAATGTTCCTTATAGATCTCCAGCAACATAACTGACCAAGGGCCTCAGTTCTGCTGTACACTGACATCCATCACTGCATTCTTCCACAGTCTGCTTCTAGCCAGTGACTGACCGTGACAGTGACACTGAGGCAGACCTGATTCTGGGACACACAGGACCTCTCCTGCAGTTGACTTTGGCTCAAGGATCTTCCAACAGACTTGCGGAATCTTCCTTAGACTGCACAGCAGTCTGGAACACGTCCATGGTCTTCAGTTTGAGGTCTCTTGCCTCTCCCAGCCTTTCTTGACTCCTTCCCCATTTTTTCTCACCTGGGCAATTTTCCTAGTAAAATTCTAGCAGGTTTAATCCCATCTTGGCCTCTGCTTCTCAGAGGACCCAGACTAACATGTTAGGGAGTAAAGAAAAGTGAAAGTGCAATAAAGGGTTAGAAGTGTGCTCTCTTAAGTAAGAGTGGTCAGGGAAGGTCAGGCAGAGGTGGCATTTGAGCCACATAAAAGTTGGAGAAAACTGTGACTTACAGAGTGAGTAAACCGCTTGAGATTATATCACTGATTTGTGGTAGGTCAGCAGATAACTTGCATCTTTAAATACAGCTGCTTTTATACGTTGTTTGCAAGCAAGTGATGATAAAGAAAATGTAACGAGAATATCTATTTGGGTGACAATTCATATCAGACAATTGTGTATATGTAGAACAAAACTATTTCAAAGCAGGTGAGGGAAAGGCTCCAGAAACCATAGGGAAATGCAATTAGCTTCTATACAGCCTGGCTTGAATTTCCTTTCAGCCAGCTTCATTCTAGCATATCTCTCTCCCGCTGTTCTTTTATATTTATTTTGCTAGTGCTGCAGCTTCTATACTAACTCTTCAATCAGCAGTTTTAAAATAGGGTATGACATTGAATTTATCGTTTTTTCTTCTGACTTTTTCCGGTCCTGTTTCCTGAAACGTCTCCATCTCCTACACAGCCTAAGTTGTCATTGGCAAATATGTGTTTCAAAATATTACACAATACGGAATAATAAGCACATTCTTTTGGATCTGAACTATAACCTCTTAGAAATAGTCTTTTTTCCTTTTTGCCCCTATGTACCGAATCTTCCTATTGAAATCACATTACGTTTGAGAAGCCAGGGAAAGTTTATATCCAGGGTTGAAATCTAGCTCATCTATTTAAGGAATTCAAAAAGGGACACACCCTTTTATTTATCTAATAATACTTCAGCTTAAGCCATTGAATTCCTTATATAATTATACTTACTTTTTTCTTAGTTCTGGAAAGTTTAAATTTTTTAAGCATTAAAATTTTCTAAAACTTTGGTGTGTTTGCGAAGTGCTTTGATCAGTTAGTCTGGAATAGATTCCCCTTGCTTGTTCTTTTGGCAAAAGCCTGGCACTCTTCCACTTTTCACAGCAAGTGAACTGCCCTTCTTCCTACAGAAGAGAGCGTGTGGAGGTCGAAAGTATTTTTCATAAGAAAAAGGGCATTCAAAACAAAACTTTCCTCAGCTTAATAAAAAGCAGTCGTGGCTGAGAAACTGCAATGATGTCATTAAGTTTTATCTTGCATAAGCAGCAGAGTGAGGAAATTCCAGAATTAATAAGTCTGCTGGTACAGCTGTGCCCTGAATTGGAAAGTTCAGGATGTTCTTTTCACACTCACAACTGGACATTTTGCTCCACGTTGGCCTTTGTGAGAATATTTGGCTCCCTCCCTTTCCAAGCTGCTAAAACATTTATAAATAGGTCTATTTAGAAAATGTAAAGTTTTAAATGGATGCAATAAATGGTCATTTTGACTAAAAACTATTGTCTATATCTGCCTTGACTTTGCAATAACAAATAATTAGTTATTTTTAATTGCCAGGTCCTTTCAAATATTGAGTTAAGAAATGGTAAATACTTAGAGAAATGATTGAAAGGAGTGGAGAGTTAAAAGCCAAGAATGATCTTTTTACCATAGCTCTAGTTATTAACGTAGCTCTAGTTATTTTTCTGGAGAACATTTGGCCAGCCGATCATCAGGAAATTGGCTTAAATAAAATAGGAGATATAAGTTCGTGACCTGGAAGTCTGTTAACATATAATGGAAATTGAGAGATTTTCCTCTAAAGTTTTGAAAAGTAGAAAATATTTTCATTTAAAGGAATGGCTTTGGTGTGTTATCGCACTAGATGATTTCTTTCAGCCTTATAATTTATTAGTGTCATGCATTTGTTTCCTCTTTGTTTCCTCTTCTTTGACCTTACAGGGGAAAGAGAAGGAAGGTTACAGAGATCAAAAGGGTGCACAACGCTAAGCAGAAATAAGCAGGTTTAATCAGAGTGCACTTTTGTGTTTCTCTAATTTCAAAATTAAACATGCACGTTGCTTGTTCTACTTAGTTCACTTTCAACACAGTCTGAAAGTTCAGCTTTCTTTGATCATGAGTGCTTGAATGACTTTGGAGGGGGACTCTAAAATTACTCACTTTGTAGTCGTATTTGCCCCAAATTAAGATAATGGGGAATTTTTTATTATTTTGTCTAGACATAATAAAATAGTTTAAGGCAGAATTTTATTCTGAAAGGGAAGTTATGAACCATGAGTTCTTAAAGCATATATTTTAGAGCCAGACTCACCAAATTCTTCCCGTTTCGAGCTAGAATTAAGCTAATCACCTTAGTTCTCTGAGGCTCAATTTTCTTTTATAAAATCGAGATTGTTTATAATACTTCCTCTCAGGATAGTTATGAAAATAAAATAATATTAGAAAAATATATATTAAATAACCTTTATAAAGCAGTGAGTATAGTGCTTGGTATTTAGTGATGAATCAACAAATGTTATTTTCATTCCTGTACTTTCTCGTTTGTTCCATTTTTCATGTATACAAATGTGGGTGGAAGACAAATGCCACAGTCTTTCTGCTGTTCCAAAAAGGCTATCATATTTCTTCAAACTTTGAAAGACTTAGCTGCTTTTCAGGTTAATGGAAAAGCCATTCAAAATTCCTTTCAAATTCTTAATTGTGTAGCAACTGGAGTGTGAAATTTTGGCATTTCTAAAGGTATCAGACAGCTGAGCTAGAATCAATAGACACTTCCAGGAAAGGAAGAAATAAAACAGTGAGCAGAGGGTTATTCCATCATTTTCTACCCAATCTTAAAAAAAAAACAACAAAAAGTTAGGATTCTCCCTTTTCAAATACTCCTTTATGCTACTGGGGTTCTTTAGCTAGCATATTTAATTGCTGCCCCCCTTTTGGTGGTTGACAGAATGGTGACTCTGAGCATAGAGCTTAACTATCTGGAGATATTTGAAATCAGGCATGAAATTTTCAATTGAATGAAAAATAGTAACTTATTTCAAACTGTAATAAAAAACTAAACCATTTCATTAAAATGCATAATAGAATATGACTAATTCTTATTTTTTAAAAGATTAAAATAAATAAAAAATGGCATGATGGAAGCCTCATATTTAGAGTTTATCACAGATGCAAAAATTATTATTTTAAAACAGGTAAACAGAAAACATAAATAAAACTAAGATATCTTAAAGACATATTTTCAATTATACAAAGTCTTTACAATTTTAGTAAGTATAAGTACAATAGTTTGATACTATCACTTTCTAGGATTGCATTTTTCATAAGATATTTTAAAAAAATTTCTCTGCCTGCAAGTCTAGAGGATGATTAAAAGAACCACCAATTCCAACATTAAATATAGATTCTTTTGTAAATATGTAATGTAACTATGTGACATATTCTTTCCCTACGCTCTCCTTCTTCCTATCTCCTAAACTTAATCTGGTAAATAGTATTCTATGGATGAGACATTTTTTCTCTAGTGTAAACACCTAACACAGAACTCTTAACTGAATTGAAATGGGAAGAGTTGATATTTATTTCTTACCAGTTTCATGTTATACACTTCCTCAACCATATTTTAAGACATACCTATAACTCCATATTAGTTTGAGTCTTTGACCCCACTATATTCACATATCTCATGATTGATATGTGCTACATTACTTTCAGATGCTTTGGTGCTCTTTTATTTCTTGGTGTTGTTTGGGGTTTACAGCGGGTCCTCCCTAGTGCTTAAAGATTTGAGCAGAATTCAAAAATTCAGCAAAGAAAGCTGCCAATTCCAATTATACACTCTTCCTCCCTCATATATATATTTATTTATATGTATATTAGTGTGTATTGTATTTGTTATTACTCTTCTAAAAATGCATACATAAAGTTGAACCTAATCAATACACAGCATTGAGATTTGTGAAACTTGAATGCCGAGCATACCCTGGTCATTAAAAATGTAGTAGTATGATGTTCCTTGAGTCACTGTCTCTCCATCTCCTTGACTTAATACTAAACGAATATAATAATCCAATTGAACTTTGGAGAATGTCATCTAGAATAAGTACCCAATGATTTAAAGCATGTCAAAAAATACAAAGCACTTTAGAAATTCGAAGAATGACTAGTGAAAAGACTTCATCCAGACATGCTATTTTATCATGGTCACCAGAAAGGAAGACCCCAACCCCTTTCTCCATCAATAATGTTTGTACATCATCTTTCATAGCTTTCATCCCTTAAATAAAACCCTGAATGAGTCTACATATCTTGCACTGTGTTTTGATTCTAGATTCCATTTGAAAAACTTATTCAGGAATGCCTCATATTAAAGGAAACAAAGATGAAAACTTTCGTTGTCAGTTACTATTCTGGACTTTCTCAATGAAAGGCTGGATTGTTTAGACCAGGTAAAAACAAAATTATGAATAAAGACAAATGAGTTAAAAAAATTTAAATAAGATTTTGAATCGTTTATTAGTGTTTTATCTGAGATTGAAATTAAATGCCATAAAAGGAAAATGGCTAAATTGCTATAAAATTATTGCTACCAATGAAGAGTGTAAGTGGCTTTGCCAGTAAGTAGAAATAATAAAACAACAACATTTCTGTTCAGAGGTTTTTGTGGCACACAGAACTTTCTTTTCATAGGTCTTCTGTTTCTGGTACAGTGGTATCCTCTGTAGGTTCAGTTGTTATCACTATAGGAATATTCTCAGATACCCAACCCTTAGGAGTCCTATTAAAGGACCGTCTGCCAGAAAGAGGATTGGCAAAGGCCATGAACCTGGGATCTGTTAGAAGTAGTAGATCAAAATCTGGAACCTTGAATTTAACCATTTTTGATGCTTTTTCAAAACCACCAAATGGCATGGCAACTCTGTGGGAAATGAAAAGAAAAAGAATACATTAATTAATTTTCAAATATATTTTCCAGAAAATAGAAAACAATTTAATTCATGATTTTCTGGGCATGCTGTTATGTTATATTCTTGGTGTCGTTTTCGGTTTTTGACCTCTGAGGCAGGCATGTCCATTTAAGGACTGCAACTTTATGATAAAGTAGATACTGATAACAAATTGGTGTAAAGTCCTTTGTACGTAGGACTCTTAGGTTTGGACTAAATTAATCTATTCCTTGTGCCCTGAGCTCATGGCAAACATTTCTTCCTTTGTGCCTTTGCTAACAATGTTTCCCCTGCTTAAGGTATTTCCTCCCTGCCTCTTCACCTGTGTGTGTCCTGTGGCCTGTAAGTTCTAACTTCCTCCAACTATCCCAGCTCACACTTCCTTCGTTAACCAAATTCCTGTGGCAATGATTGTCTTGTGTCAGTCATTCAGTGCTTATGATATGCTACTTTCTATTGTCAGCTTCTCTTTTTAAGAATATGGTTTGGTTTGGGTCATCTGTGAATTATAAACTCTGAGGGCAAGAAGTATGTCTTTTGCATCTTTCTATCTCTACCTCAAAACCCTCAAAATCCTTCTATTTGTCTTCTGAATAAAGCCTAAGGTGCACATAATGTTCTAGCTTTGTTTGATTTAGCCATTTATTTATTTATTCATTCAATGCCAGGCACATTTCTAAATGCTGGAATACAGCCCTGAACAATGTAGTCAAAGTCCAAGCTCATATTCTAGAGAAGGAGACAGATGATAAAAAAACATAAACATATAGACAAACATCCAGTAGTGATGAGAATGATGCAGAAAATTAAAATAAGATGATGTAATAGGGTATAACTGAATGACTAGATAGTCAGGGAAGATTTCTCTGAAGAGGTGACGTTTAAACTGCCCTCTGAAGGTCAGAAGTTAGCCATAGACAGTACAGCTGAAGCACATGAGCATTTCAGGTAGAAGGAGTAGCTAATGCAAGGAATCTAAGGCAGCAATAACATTGGCATGTTCAGGAAAAGAAAGAAGGGCTATGCTGCTAGACCAGTAGGTGAGAGGGATCCTAGAGGGAAGAGGACAGAGAGATTGATTGTGTGAGAATTTGTCCAAGTAAGGATTATAAATTTCACTCTAAGAGTAAAGAGGAGCCATTGTAAGGTGTAAAGCAAAGGAGCGGTATAATCTGATTAAATTTTTATGAAGATCGCTCTGGCTGCTGTCGCTGTGCAGTTATAGGGAGACAAGAGTGTAATGAGGGAAGATGCTGCAGCAATTCAAGTGGGAAATGATGGTGGCTTGGATTTCAGTTGTTCTCTATGAAGATGGAAAGAATGGGTGGTTTGAGGATGTGTTTTAGGGGTAGATTCAACAGGATTTGCTGATAAATTGGATAATAATTGTGAGGGAGATATAGAAATCAAGGATCACTCCTAGGTTTAGAGATTTAACAACTGGCTGATGAAAGACAGATGGGAACATGTTTTGTGTATGCTTGGAAAAAATGATTTTAACATCCCAGTGGAAAGGTCAGTCACGCTGGTTTTGCCCTATCCTCTTTCATGCACCCTTTGTTCCAGCCAAACCAAATGCACTGCTTGCTCTTCTCCTTAATGCTCTCCCACCGCATTGCCTTTATTCATACTCTCATTTCTCTGCTTGGAGTATGCTGACCCTTATTACTACATTTCTAAATCCTCTTAAAGTTCTTTAAGTTCTAAGTATGTTATTTAATAGCATATTTAACTTTCTTCTTGCAGCTTTCCCTGATCTCCCACAGACAGAAGTAAGCTCTTTATCTCTTAAGTGTCCATGGATTCTGTTTTAACCTCCCCTGTAACCCTTTTTCCATCTTTCATTATATCCGTTGGGATGTCTGCCTTATTTCTTACTAGACTGTACTCCAAGAGGATTGGAATTCTCTCTGATGTATCTTTGTAACTCATTACAATATACTTGTATAATGCATTGTACCTAGAAGGTCCTCCTAAACATCTAGACAATGGAATTGGTATGACTATATAGATTCTCCAATATTGTGGAGATTATTTTAAAGCCTGGAAAAGATCTGATTTTCTTTGTAGCTCAATCACTCTGTGATCTTTCTTGACTATTCTAATTTCTGTGTGATAATGGTGAGGAAGCATGGAGTTTGGTTAGGTAAGGAGAAAGTGATTGATGGACTTTGAAAAATGGGATGGCTTTGGCAGGAGGGAATGAAGTATTATTGAAGTAAAGAATAAATGAAAAGTAAAGATACAATGTGATAGAGAGTAAGATGCTTGAAATTGAGATTTTGAAGGTGACATAGGTATTGGTAATGACAAACTTTAAGAAAAGCCAAGAGTGACGGAGGCGGGATTGAGAAAACAATCCTTAAAATTGAGACAGTCAAGGACTTGAAAGAGTAGAGAGTTCAGTGGATCATTCACATGGGTATTGAAGCCACTGAAAAGTGATGACTGGAATAATACTGGGGAGGAAGACAGTGAGCCAGATATTAAAATCTTCAGTGAAGCGAATATCCCCAGAGTGGATAGATGACCTCAACCATGGCTGTAGCAGATGTAACTGTGTCATATAGCATAGAACCTCATATCTTATTGGCCCATAATTTTCTTGTCTTCTGGTATTTTACTTCCCTATGAAGAGCAGTATGTTTTACTTTCCATTGCATCTGTTCTGAAGATGACTGATCTTATAATATTTCCCCCAAATTTCTATGGAAGATATGGATAATAACAGATCACTGATTGGTGCATAACCTCAGTCTAGTATAGTATTAGATCAATCATGTCAGTATGGACTTTCACATCCAGAGCCTAAAACGATTGCTCTGGAGGTAAAAGACGTCGGTTTGGAAAAGAACTTTAGGAACTTAGATTACCATTCAGGAGCATTATGATTATTCAGCTTCAGAAGGCATAATAATGATGAAAGCTACTATTTATTGACTCGGTACTATGCACTAGACGCTATTATAAGTGCTTCTCAAACTCTGTTGGTACAGGAATCACCTTGGGATCTTGTTACATGCAGATGCTAATTTAGTCAGCCCAGAGTGTGTCCTGAGATTCTGCATTTCTCACTAGTTCTCAGGTAATGCCAGAGCTGCTGGTCTGTGGACCACACTAGGAGTACCAAGGGGTTACGTGATTGTCTCATTAAATCCTCACTCACAACAACCCTATCAGTTGATTCTATTTACCTCCCCATTTGACAAATGAATCTGAGGCACAGATAAATTAAATGACTTGCCCAAAGTCACCTACCTGTTAAGCTGTAGAACCAGGATTTAAACCCAGGTGGCCAGATTCCCTGGAGGCGTGCTTTAGTCACTACCCTATACCACACTGCCCCAAGATAATTCTTATGCAGTATTGGGCCTTCTGAGATCACTTTCTAAGTAGAGCAGTGTGTTTAGGAATGTCAACTCATTTGGGCTGTGTCTAAAGGATGTCAAACCAGGTTGCTGTCACATTCATGATGCAATTAGCTGATTCAAGGTCCCACATTTTGTCATTTGATTTAGTGAATTGAAGAGTCTTTCTAACTCAAATTTGATTTAGTACATATGTAAAACTTCTTATTTTTGGATGTCCAAGATGTCCAAGACAATATTTCACCATTTTAGAAGCTTGCCGTTGTGATCAATAGTCTGTTTATTTGCTGGTTCATTCACTTATTCATACAACAAATTACTGATTGCTTTTACATCTATAAACTCTGCTATGTGCTAGGAATTCAAAGATGGAAAGATTGTAGTAGATCTTAACCTCGATGAAGTCACAGACAAATAAAGAGTGAAACATGAGAAAAAAAACAACTCATCATGGAATATGATAGTTACTCCAAGGGAAGACTGTCCTGAATGCAGAGGAACTTAAGGTAAAAAGCATCTTAGTCTGCCTGGTAGGTCAGGAAACACTTCGTAAACTTAGAGCCTGGGATCAGGACCAGCTACATAATTTGTAGGGCCCAGTGCAAAATGAAAACTCGGGGGGTCCTTGTTAAGAAGTAGTTAAGAATTTGGAAACAGAGACAGCAAAGCATTAAACCAAGTACGGCCCTACTAAGCATGGGGTCGTGCAAATGCACAGGCCATACACCCATTCCTGGGAGTTTAAGAATATATAGTTATCCATTGGATACAAGAGACTGAAGTTGAACATTTCTAGAGTTAGGCTGAATTTGGTAAATTAATCTTGTATTTATTAATTCCGGAAATGAATTTTACTCATTTATTTATTTTTTTCTGAATTAAATCAAAGAAGAAATGTTGCTCTGCCACTGAAATCCAATATTTGGGTTTGGCATTTGGTGCTTTAATTTTGCCCTTTTATCCAGGTCTGTTTCATTTTTCCCTCCCAATTTGTGGGTCATTTTCTTCTGTAAATGAAAATATTCCCTTCTGTTCCACCATCCATCTCCTACCTCCTACCACTGATCCAGTGAAAGGTTGCTGTTTGAAAACCAGAGCTTTCTTTTCTTTGGCACCATTGAGACTATATCCTGTTTGTTTGAATTTTTATTGCCCTCAGACACAAACTAAAGTCCATTAACAGAGATGTCAAGCATTCAAAATGAGAGACTACTTGGGAGGTTTTTAAGATCTCTGAAAATTGTTTCAAGTTTTAGTCAAAGCTAGTGAAGCAAAATTTGCACTGAAAGGTTTGGAATGTTCTAGTGAAAGACGCATCTTTATAATTCCCATGATATAAATTCTTCAACCGTAGATCTGACTTACAATGATTTTTACACTTTGGCGTCTGTGTAGTGAATAAGCCTTTTTACTCAGATTCACAGTTAATAGATGCTTTCTTGTTTATTTTGATTGATCAGTAATAGGATTGAGTTTGTAAAAATTGATGGTGTTGGACATATAATAGACCCGTAATAATGACTGATTGTTCTATAAGGAAAGAATTATGTAAATGTTTGCACAGAAATTAAAATAAATTATTCTACTAAATAGCTGATGGCTATAATATATGTAAAGGTACTTAATCATATAATTATAGCATTTATTTTACAGATAAAGAAATTAATACCAGGAGAGGTTCGGTGACATATCCAAAGTCATACAGCCTTTTGAAGCAGAGCTGGAAATCTCTTTGCTCCTAGTTTACTTTCCTCACGTGTTACGTGGGTTTAATATAGTATTATTTGAATACAGCATAATGTTTAAATACACTGAAAGTGAGTACAAGAATACAAAGTCGTATTAAACTATGGGCCATTTTGAAACTGATTAGACCTGGGAGCCAGTTCTCATCCAGTCATTTTCACTGCTGAATGCTATCAGACTACATCTTACCCTTATATGCTTTATTAACAAAATCTAGTAATTATGTACAATAATGTGGGGCCACCAAATAATATTCTTTTACTCTGGGAATATTTGAAAACTGCTTCTTTCTTTCTTTCTCTCTCTGTTTCTCTCATTTGTTTTTGCAAAAATGAAAAAAAATAGATATATTAGAATAACGTCAGTATAATAACATTGAATTATTTGAGAAACAGAAGGGAAAATGATACTTCTGATTACATTTTATTTTTAAAATGTATAGGTGTAATAGTTGTGTGAGGAACTAAATTTCTGGTCAAATTATTTTCTCATAATCTTGAGTAGTTTGATAAAATAAAATCCTGTTAAATAACCTACAGCAGAAAAGATATTAACCCAATTTGTACCTGGAGATTATTTTAACCTTTCTTTCAAATTACTGGAATGTATTTTTGACTAATTCAAAGAATGACTTTTATCACATTTAATTTACAAAAGCCCAGATACCCATTGGGATTATTTTGCTTATGTGATTTTTTTTAAAATAAAAATTTTATTGAAGTGTAAGTTACATTAAAAAAAGTGTACAAATCATAAAGTAAAACTTGATGAATATTATTTATTTTCTAATTATTTGTTGCTGGTGTATAAAAATATCATTAATTTTTATGTTGACCTTGTACTCTGTGATCTTGATAAATTTACTTACTAATTCTGATTACTAACCTGTAGCTTCTTTTGAATTTCCTGTGGACACAATCATGTCATTTGTGAATAAGGACACTTTTATTTTTCCTTTCTTCTACTTATACCTTTTGTTTATTATTATTGTTTCATTGTCTAGCAGAGGTCAACAAACAACTTCTTTGCCTGAAAACGTGCGTGTAGGTATGTTTTTATTTTAACTTTTACCTTTAAAGAATATTTTCACTGGATATAGAGTTATAGGCTGGTAGTTATTTATTTCATAATTTTAAAGATGTTAATTCCATTGTCTCCCATAATTCCAGTTGGGAAATCACCTGTCCTATTTTTACTCTTTTATGAGAATGTGCATTTTATTCTCTAGCTTTAAGGTGTTCTTACTGTCTATGGTTGTCAGCAGTTTTACACTCAGGTGACTTTGTGTGGTTTACTTTGCATTTACCCTTCCTGGGTTGTGAGGTACTTCTTGAACCTGTCGCTTGATCTCTTTTGTTAATTTTGAAAAATTCTTGGCCATTAACTCTTCAGATTGCTTCTGCCTTCTTCTCTCTCTTATTCCCTCCTGAACTCTAATCACACATATATATTGGCATTGTTATTACTCTTCCAAGTGTGTCTTCTGCTATTTTCCTGCATTTTGAATCCTTTTTTTCTCTCTATGCTTCAGTTTGAACATTTTCTGAAGCTGTTTATGAATTCTCTCTTCAGCTGTGTTTAATCTGCCATGAAATCTATTATTTAATTTTTAAAAACATTTCTATCATTAAATATAACACAAATACAGAAAACCTCATAAAGATGTATAATAACTTATTATAAAGTGAATGACTTTGTAACCACTACACATGTTAAGAGCTCCTCCAGAAGCCCTAAACATGTCCCTGCCCAATCACAACCCCTCCTGCCCCTAGTTGTAGTCCGTATTTTGACTTTTATGGTAATATCAACTTATAAAATATTCTAAAACTTTCTTTGTATGTTAATAACCCAAGTGTGCATCTCTAAATATTATGGTTTAGTTTTGCCTGTCTTTTAAATCTATTTTATACCATTGATTTTTCTTTCATCTCTTTCTTGCATTTTATTTATCGAAGATACTGGATCATTTGTCCTATAGAGTTTCCCACAGATTGAATTTTACTGATTACATTCTCTTGGATTAGTTTAACACATTTCTCTGTTCTTGGTAATTCCTGTAAATTTCATATGGATCCAGTGGCTTGATCCATTGACTTCTTAATCTCAGTTACTATATTTTTCATTTTTGTAGAATTTCCATTTTATTCTTTTTTTAATAAAAACATTTCCAATCTGCTGGACTTCTTCATCTTGTCGTCTATTTTCTTGAACATATTTCTCACAATTATTTTAAAGTGAGTGTCTGATATTTCAATAATTTCATCTTTTGTGTGTCTGTTTCTTTTATTATTTTTCTCTTTATTTTTAGTCATTTGGTCTTGTCTCATAGTATGCCTGGTAATCTTATTTGACTGATGACACTGTGTAAAAAAAATTGTAGAGATAATTTGAGTCTCTGAATGGTGTCATTTTCCTTCCAGAGAAGATTTGCTTTGGTCCATGGCAGGCAGTTTGACTTAAAGAAGGTGACATTTATGCAATCTAGGACTCTGTTGATTGGGACCAGCATTTAATTTCATGAAGGCTGGTCTATTTGCCTTTACGCCAGTGGTTTACCCCTTATGGCTCCCAACTAAGAGCTTAGAATATTTGGGCCTCTCCTCCTAGCAGACCTTATACTCCTATTTTGGTCTTCCCAAGACTCTTGAGTTTACCAAAAGGTTTGCTCACTTTCTCCGCTTTTTCTTAGCTGTTGCCAGTAAATCAGCAAATGCCTCAAGGGGAAAAGTGGTACCAAATGTTGGATTACATCTCTAAATTTCCCTTATCTCCAGGATCTTGGCCCTCAAGTCCTTACTTCTTGGTAGCTTTTCAATCATTTTTAAAAGTCATTTTTATAATAATTAGCTTTTTGATGTACTTTTGTGAAGTTGTTCTGATATAAAATAGTCTGCCATAGCTGGAAATGGATTTCCATTTCCTACCTATGTGACTTTTTATAGTTTCATTCATTTAGCAAGCATTTAAGCCAAACATATAATTACACCATTTATTGTTGTTAAGTAGGCTTCTAAAGCAATGCATGCAATGGACAATGTCTTAAACCTAGTGTAGCCAGGTACATATATTTTAACAGGAAGGATCTTAAAGCTATCTGCTTGGGATTGTCTGTGTATCATATCATGTTTTGTTTCACCTGTTAATGTTATTTAATGATAATAAAGAATTTAAGACTAGACTGGAATGTTGATTAACATTAAGCACTTAAGTTTTTATTTCTATGTTGATGTGTATATAAAAAGAAACAAAATTTTCTCGAGTAAAGGAGAGGTATTAGCAAGTTAAGTTCTCTCTCTCTCAATCTCTCTGTCCCCCCCCGCCCTGCACTGTATGTTACATTTACAAAAGCCTTGATTTAACAGAGGGAGCTACATTTCCTAATCATATAGTATTGTGTTCATTGATGTAGGATTCATGTATAGGCGTCTCTTTATAACCAACCCAAACATGCCAATGTGTTTGTAGAACTGGAAGCAAGCTGCTCAGTAAGTGTGGGATACGAAGTCACAAGATACACTGAAATCATGCAGCATCTCTAAAGCACTAATCTCAAAGACAAGCCTCAAGTATTCCATTAGTTTCCATTTTCCCCTAGAGTTTTACTTTTTTATAATTATCTACACTCTTATTTTGGGAAAAAAACGATATCTTTGATTAGAAGGGGCTTCCAACCTCCTTTCCCTGCCACTCCTCAACTCTTCCCTAAATTCTATGGTACACCTTATTCATGCAATAGATGTAGTACTAATACTACTGGTATTACTAACTATACTAATAGTATTAGATGTAATACTCAAAGAAGTATTACTGATGTATTACTAATAATAGAGGTAATACTAATGCTATTAATATAGCGGTGTATGAAAACTAAAATGCTAATAGCACAATAATTTAAAAAGTACTAAAGAAGACCACTATTTAAATGCATGCTTTGTGGCATTCTTTTGTAAATCAAAGACTACTCCTTAATTTATTAATTTTAAATGAATAGTCATTAAGCAGCCTATAAATTAGGTCTAATTTTTGTGAGTGTGAGACAGCACACTGGAGATATTTTACTCTAAAATGAAAATCAAGTGATCAAAGAATGGGTTATAAGACCATTAAAAATATATCTAAAGTCCCCATGGAAAAATAAAAGTCCATTGTGTAAACTATAATGCAGGTATTATTTGGCAATATTTTTGGTAGCATAAGTTTTGGTTTGTACATGTCCTAGAGTCTTAGGTCATAAGTCCCTAAGTTACCTTTAATTTGGCTTAAAGCCTACAAAAATATAAATTGGAACCTGGAGTTACACAGTAATTCTCACAGTCCTATATATGAATCATTTCTGAAATTCTTCAACAGCGTTGCCATTTGAAGCAACGCATAAACTAATATCAACCTTTGAATTAAAAATTATTATTAAAATAACATTTCTTTTAAATGTGGGAGAGAATCTTGATGTTATAAGAGTGATAGTTTCTGAATCATTTCCTTCATTTTTATACAAAAAAAGACTAAGGTTTGGCATATTAGTAATATTGCAAAAATGAGTCTTTGCCTAGGCTTAGGAGTTATCCTATATTGCTATTTTGAGTCTGTTCTTAAAAGAAAAAAATGGTTTTCTACCAGAGGATTCAGGTCTCCATACCATGATATAAAAACCTTGGTATTACTTGCCAACAGTGTTACCCAAGATAATTGAATTACCTGTTAAAGCTCCTGTAATCGGGCAGTTCTGCCTTTCCTTCAGGCTTGAAAAATTTAGGGTATAAAGCCTCTAAAAGCTCCGGATCACTGCTAATGGCCTGTTCCCAGGGCGACTGATAGTACTTAGGGACGGCTGTGGTGTTGAATCTTTCAGGAGGAATTTCCTTCAGTGGGCCAGAATATCCTTTGGAAAAATATAGTAAGAATAAGTAAACACAGAGTGCCTGAGAGTTACTAAACTTCACCTAAGATTTTACCATGTTGAATTTTTCATGCAGGGGTAAATTTATGATCCTTCAGAAAAGAGTAGTCTGACAGTGTTGGACATTTTTAAACCCCATTAAACTTATGGAACGTTCAAAAGAAACCACTTTTCTTTTGTTTTGTGAGGAAGATTCGCCCTGAACTAACATCCATTGCCAATCCTTCTCTTTTTGCTGAGGAAGATTGGCCCTGGGCTAACATCCATGCCCACTTCCTCTACTTTATGTGGGACGCCGCCACAGCATGGCTTAACAATCGGTTCATCAGCGCATGCCCGGGATCTGAACCTGCGAACCCTGGGCCACCAAGGCAGAGCACGAGTGGTTAACCACTACGCCCCCTGGCTGGCCCCAAGAAACCACTTTTCTTAATGTTTAATTTTACCAAATCATACAGTTATTTCTTCCTTGACTATCTTAGTATATATTTGTTCAGTGAAACTATTCATTTAATTTTTTAAAATTACGCCCCTTACATTAATTTATACTAGCTTTTAGATATCATAATTAATGAACTTATTTAAAAATATATATTGAGTGTCCACTGTGGGCTCTGGGGAAATAGCACTGAAGACAAAAATCTCCCTCCTCAGAGCTGATTCGTCAGAGGCAAGTTTCCGGTCTTGTCTATCTTAAATTGCTGAGAGGTCTGTAAACTGTATAAGCTTCAAAATGGTGAAGTAATTTGTTTCCACTGCCTTAGTCAGGCCCTGATCTTCTGGTTCCCTGATGTGTCCATCCCATGTTTACTTTGTTCCTGAAGATTTCTTACCTAACTCTTCTACTTCTGGTCTCACCTCCTCAACTTATTCTTCTCACAGGAGCTGGAAATTTCTGTAAGTGCCATTTAAAAAATCACACAAATTCCCGGTGTAAACTTTAAACCATTTTCACATGCATTAGGTGGCACTTTTCAAGTCTTCAGAGGCACAGCTCTCTACTCTCTGTCTACACTACCACACAGCCTAACTATGGCCTTCAGATAGTTCTCTCTTGCACCGTGTCAAAACCTTTCACCATCTGATCACTCCTAGTTTTACATTTCCCTGATGCTCTTTCTCTTCTCCAAAGTGTTTTCTGTTTTCTTCTGTCAAATTATACCTATCCTGTCTTTATACTAAAGAGTTTATTTCCTCCAAAAGGTCTTGTTGATAATCCACATCTAGACAGTTATTGGCTTGCAGTCATTGAATTTTCTTCTGATTGCTTCCAGTATCTGACTATAATCTCTTCTGATAGGCTTTGCTTCTCTGCTTGTCACTTGAATCCTGGTGTTTCTCAAAGCTCTTTTCTTAGACTATACGTTCTGTCCAGAAAATTCCATTTACATTCATGGCTTTAACTGTGACCGACATATTGATGTTTCCAAGTTTTGTTTTTTGATCTCCAGGCCCTTCTATTCAACCACCTATTATATTTGTCCAAATGAATATTTCCCTGGCACCCTTTATAAAGTGTCTAGACCCATATGCAGCCATTTTCTAATACATCCTGCTTCTTTTTCTATATTAATCATCTTAGTGAATGTTATCACTCTTTTCTCAGATGCCCAAGACAGAAGCATTATCCTAAACCCCTCCTCATTCCCACAACAAATCACGAAGTATTACCAACTATACTTCTTAAAGATTTCTAAAATAGTAGCTCTCAAACTTGTGTTTCTGAATCACCTTGGGCCTTATTTAAAATATTGATAATGGGTTCTTCCCTCCAGAGATCTGGCTTTAGTAAATCTCAGGTATAGCTTACGAATCTTATGCAACTGATTTGCAAATGCAACATTGGGAAACGTTTTTCTAGAAAATTCCCTTTCCTCTTCGTTTCCATTACTACTGCCCTGGTTCAGGTCTTGCCCACCATCTCTTGCCTGGGCTTTACAATAGCTTCCATACTAATCCTTTAGCTCTCAACCTCTCTCCCAGGCACCCTCCACACTGCCGCCTGAATGGCCTTTCGGACTGGAAAACTTGATCCTGTCTCTCACTTCCCTTTCTCAGGATGCTGTAATGGCTCCCTATGACAACAATCTCAACTCCTCAGCAAACACACATGGCCCTACCCAGCTGTCCAGCCCCATCTCTTGCCATTCTGCTCTCACATTTTATGTTCCAGAACTTGGATCTACTTGAAACTTGCTGTGTCCCTTGTGCCTCCCTACTTGTTCCATTTCTTCCCTGTGCCTGGAATGCCCTCCCTAATTCTTGTCACCTACAAATTCCTATTTTAAGCCTTAGCTTGAGGTTACCTCTTCTATGTAGCCATTCCTATCTCCCCCAGGAAAGCAGAATCACTTTTTTTGTGTCTTCAATTTGTATAGTATATACATAACTACATTATTGTAACTACCACATTTTATTTCCTCTTCCTTTCCTAAAGTTGATCAGCTGTCAGCCATATAGAAACTGGAAATTTTAAAATTTTATATTTTTAAAAATTCCTTGAAATCCCACTACCTGGATATGATTATTTTACTTTTGTGTATTTTTTCCCCCAGTTTTTCTTCACCTGTAACCAATAATGATCATGTAACTATAATTCTAGTGTACATGTAATTTTATATTTTATTTCTAGTCAATTTTGTTTGAAATACTTTTGACTGTTTCCACATCATGTTCATAATCCTTTTAAGGGTTTCATAACAATCTATTGAATTGAAGGATCATAATTGGTCTAATCTTTTTGCATTTTTGAATGTTCCAGGTTTTCCAATTTCTTTTTATAGGTGGAATTAACTAATAACTTTTTTCTTTTTTTGATATGCTGAATTATTTACAGGAAAGAATGTACATATGTTTAACGTCTCAGAAATATTGCAATTCAGTAATGCTACATGTTACTATTTCCTATTTGATTTTTTTTTGTTTTTTTTGGTGAGGAAGATTGGCCCTGAGCTAACATCTGCCAATCTTCCTCTTTTTGCTGAGGAAGACTGGCCCTGGGGCTAACATCCATGCCCATTTTCCTCCACTTTATATGGGACACCACCACAGCATGGCTTGACAAGTGGTGTGATCCGAACCGGTGAACCCTGGGCTGCCGCAGCGGAGCGCATGCACTTAACCGCTTGCGCCACTGGGCTGGCCCCTCCTATTTGACTTTTAAATATATATTTTTAATATAACTAATTTGAATTCCAAGGAACTTCATTCCTACAGTGTTATGGCATTAAAATACTCTTATTGATTCACGTTTGAGAAAAGTTGGCTTTTGGATACATGGTAGGTTAATCAACAACAATTTTTGCTAAATTGGAATAAGCTATAGTTTGCTTCCTGAATTGGTTGTACTTTTCAATTCATCAACCAAGAAGGAAGGATCCATTACTCTTGCTTCACAGCAAACTACGTGATAACCTCCAAACTTTCCCCTTTCTTAGTCTATATTATATAGACATTTCCTAATATTTAATAGCTGGATATTTAGCTTTAAATAGCTGTATGAATTTATCCTTGTAACATCTCTCTTTACATATGTAAATATATATTTGTATATATATACACATATACACACATGCAGTAAATAAGATGGCAGTCAATAAAATGCATATATAATATTAAATTATATATGCAGAGATAAAGTGAGACTACGAATATAATGTGGATATTTGTCCTGTCTCCTATGTATGAATTCCTTGAGGGTACAGATTAATATTTTTATTCTTTTTGCAATTTCATAGTTTATAATGATGATCATGTAATAAAAGTTCTGACTTAGTGATGAGAGTACCAGATTGATCCAACACAAACTTTTCTATATGTCTTCTCTTTCCTATTAAAAAAACCCCAATACTCCAAACATTAGAAAGTAAGCAGTTACAGTACAGGAGTTGGAGTTAAAAGAATATGTGTATATATTAAGAATATAAAAGTGCGCGGGGCCAGCCCGGTGGTGCAAGTGGTTAAGTGCACGTGGTCTGCTTTGGCAGCCCAGGGTTCGCAGGTTTGGATCCCAGGCACGCAGTGAAGCACTGCTTGGTAAGCCACGCTGTGGCGGCGGCCCATATAAAGTAGAGGAAGACGGGCACGGATGTTAGCTCAGGGCCACTTTTCCTCAAGAAAAAGGGGAGGATTGGCATCGGATGTTAGCTCAGGGCTAGTCCTCCTCACAAAAAAAAAAAAAAAAAGAATATAAAAGTGAAAAGGGAAAGGATTAACTTTGAGTACTTTATTATGTGTTAGGGACTATGCTTATCACATTTGATTCTCACAATGACCCTGTGCAGTGAGATTTGGTTTCCTTATTTTATAAACCGAGAAAACAAACTCAATGGGATTTATTGTCTTTCCTACCACAGTAGTAAGATGGGCAGGGATGGAAGGAGTCAGAAGGTTGAATCCAGATCTTTCTGATTCTAAAAATTGTTTCTCCCCCACGTGCTTAATGCTGTATATGTAGAATCTGTTACCTGCTTTTCTGCCACAAAAAAAGCTATTTGAAAGCTATTTGAGAACTTTATTACAATGCTTCACTTCCAAATTCTGTGCATTATATTGAGTGCTTGGTTTCCTTCAATGCTATTTTGTTCTATCTGTCAATACTTTTTTCTTGTGTCTTCAGTAAGAATGTCCTAATAAGTCTAAGCTCATCAATGACTGACACTCAACTTACTTTTAAAGAAGATTTAATATTATACAGTTGCTTTACTTACATATTTTCAAAAACATTATTGGTATTTGAGAAGAATTCTAGAAGTACTTTGCGAAATTTACTGTTTATTTTATAAAAATATGACAGGTATTGCTAATTTCCAGATTAAAGTCTTTGAAATTACAAAAAATCTACTTTATACATTACACTTGAGGAAATACTTAAAGATACTTGCTGTAAGTTATTTTGAAAAGGTATTGTCTAACTAGATCAGATAATTTTTGTGAAAGATTTAATATTTCAAAATCTAACAATATTTCTAAATAACATATACTGACTTGGACAAGGATTTACTTCTCTTTTAAAATAATAAACAAATATACAATCTCAAGGGATTGTATTTAAAGTCCTCTAAGGGAGCAGAGAATAATGAAAGCAATCTCCACAAGGTCACTTCACGTTAGAGATCTGTAAATTTGGTACCAGACCTGCATTTAATTCTTGATCAGTCAATATGAGCTTATAGCCATTCATAAGCTCAGTTTCTTAGTTTGTAAAACGAGGATTGTAATAAATATGTCATAGAGTTATTGTGAAATTAAAGCAGACAATACATATCATAGTACTTCATAAATTATACAGTCCTTTACAAATATAATTTCAATATCATTACAAATGACTTAATTTTTTTTTTTTTTTTGTGAGGAAGATCACCCCTGAGCTAACATCCATGCTAATCCTCCTCTTTTTGCTGAGGAAGACCAGCTCTGAGCTAACATCTATTGCAAATCCTCCTCCTCCTTTTTTTCCCCAAAGCCCCAGGAGATAGTTGTACGTCATAGTTGCACATCCTTCTAGTTGCTGTATGTGGGACGCGGCCTCAGCATGGCCAGAGAAGTGGTGCGTTGGTGCACGCCCGGGATCTGAACCCGGGCCCGCCAGTAGTGGAGCACGCGCACTTAACTGCTAAGCCACGGGGCTGGCCCAACTTAATTTTTAATATAACCGATGATTGCCAACAAATACAATGGACCATCTGAAAGAACATAAGACTACTATAAATGTTTTACATGACTCCTTTAGGTCTAAATCTTTACATTTATCTTGAACTTACCCACAAAATAGATACATAATGAGAAAAGCTGTATCATTAGATACTGTTGGATTCAAATGACTTGAGTCATATATTTAAGTGCACAGCAATTTTATTGTTCTATTTGTCAGGGGATTAATTACCTGGTGCAATGCTTTCTGGATTGGGTGGACTTCGTGGGTCCGGGGTGTTGGGAGGAGTAAACGGAGCTGGCTGAGAACCAATTTCCAGGTTGCTTCCATCCAGTTTCTCATTTTGCATGGCAATATTGTACTGTATTTGATCAAAAATAAACTCTGCTGAAAACTCAGACGTATTGGATACACCAATAGGCGATAGCATAGGTGCAAGACTCCACTTGTATATTTAGATTTTAAATACAATGCCACTTCCTCGTTTCCTGGGGCCTCGATAATTTACATTGTACTTGGTTGAGCTATGGAATGAGAAATTTTACTGATATCAATCTAAGATCTGTTTTATGATGATAATTCACTTAATAATAATTCATTGAGCCTTACTATGTGCCAGGCACTGTGTCTAGGACTTTGTATCAATTATTTAATTTACTATTCACAACATCCCTATAAGGTGAATCTATTTAATTTTTAAGTCTTTACTAATTTAATATTATAGAGCATACTGGACAAACACTTGGCTTAGTCATTGTTACATTACTATTTTATTTATAGTTGAGATTTAATTAGATTCTTTAATATGTCTTGTTGAAAAATTTAATCTGAAATTTGAACAGCAGTCGTGTATAACAAAAAAAAATTGTACTTTAAGCTGCATGGACTTGTAGAAGGAAAAGTTTGAGATTTCTAGAAAATAAAATGCTTAAAAGAGATGTTTGTCTTTTAAGTTTTAGGTGAATTTGTTTTACTATTATAAGTCAGGATTTATTCTATGGCAATGATATAGCACTTTAAAAACAGTCAATTTACCTTTTAACAGAGAAAAATAGACATTGTAGTAGGTTATGTCCTCAGAAGATAGATAGGCCTTGTCTCTATAATGAAACATTGTTTTAATTATGTATGGGAAATATGTGTATTTTAAAAAGAAGCCAATCTATTTAAGAAGTACATAAAGTCAAATATCTTTTAGGTTTAGAAAGAAAAATTTAGTGAAGAGCATAGCGAAGTAAAGACAAATTTTCACTTTTTTCTGTGTGACAAGCGGAAAATATTTTATAATGCTTTTTCATTTCTATATTTATTTATAAGACGATATGGTGAAGTACAATTTTACATTTTAATGCTTATTTACCTTTATAGAAATGTGAGGGTAAAAGACTATTTTGTCCTAAAGTCCAAATACTTACCATAATTAAAGGCCATAAATTAAGGGCCTCACCTGATAAAATTATGAAGGAAATAAAGTTTATCCTGTTTTCAGGCTTCACCCCCCCACAGCCACTCTCCAGGTGCCTCTTACATTCACCTTATTCTCTGCAGCACCATGGGGAAAGTCGCTGTGGAAATGAGTAGGGCATATGTTAGCAATGGTGAGCTGACTTGTGGAAAAACTCAAGAAGGCATGAGAGGTCAGGTTTATTAGGGCAGTACGAGGTCTTGATTACTGGGCATAAGAGTTTGCATTTTATGCAACAGACAATAAGAAACAATTTCTAAAGACAAGTAATGCTGTGCTCAGATACGTTAGCATTCAGTATTTTGAATTTAGCTATTATCTTGAGCGTTCAACTTAATTGACTAGATTAGTATCTTTTTTCATTTCTGAACCTACACCACCTCTTAAAAAAGAGGAACATTCTTTCTAACATTAATTATAAATAAAAAGCCAATTGAAATAAATATAGGAAGTTTAAATGTATCATTTATAAAGAATTACTTTTTCTAAGTTCCTGAAATGTGTCCATGAAATGAATTTTACCTAAATTTACAAATCAGTCTACCTACATTAGTTTAAGACTTGTAATACTGACCTTCTGTGTAGACTTTTTCGTGGGGATTAATAATGAGCAGGAAAATCAGCTCTTTCTAGCTAGTCATTAATTATCAGGAGACGCCCAAAACCTCTATTGTCATTGTTAAGTGTACCCACAAAGCTTTACAAGAGTTGGGTAGTGACTTATTTTAATTAAACATGAACCTTAAATTATAGAGTTCCATCACATGTGATTCCCTGCAGGAAAAGTTGAAAAGACAAATGAAAATGTGTTTTGTTTTATTTTATTTCAGTTAAGTTCTAAATAAAATAAAATAAAACCAGAGCAGTATCTTACAGGTTATAAACATGTGAGTTAAAAACATAGGTATAATGTATATTACATGATTTCTGTTGAAATATCAATTGAAATAAAAGGGTTTAAAAAAAAATCTGTTCTATAATTTGTGCCAAATACGTAGTAGAAGTTATTTTTTGAATAAAATAAGTGTATGTGCAAAATCCTAGTATATTTAATTTGGTCTTATTTCAGAATTACTTTTTATAGTATACTTTCCCTTTCCCAGTATTAAAGATTTCTAGGGATTTCAAAGAGTTCATAGTTACTGAATACATATGTAGTCTTAACTGTAAAATGTGGATTGTTTGCTTAATATCCTTTTGTAGTGATTTATAGAAGAGGGTATTAACTATCATGGATCACTCTTCTACTTTATTTTTCCTTAGTGCTTATTTTCCTCATCTGTTTCCTTTTTTGTCTTTTGTATAAGAAGTTGATCAGTTCATGAACTAAGGCTTCAAAATCGGCTTATGTAATGAGCAACGTATTTTGATTTCTTTTTAAGAATGCACATTTCCTGTTTACGCCATTGGAGGTTTGTGTGGCTTGAATTTGCCAGTTTCTCGGCAGTAGAGTCAGCCCAAAGCTGAACTTATTTTTTCTATTTTCTATGGCATTAATACCAGGGAGGTGGTTTATATTTTCATCTAATGATGTTCTAAACCTTATAATAAAAAAGGAAATACATAAATAGAAGTTAAATAATTATTTTGACAATGTCTATAGCTCAAGGGAAGCAGTAAAAGTAAAAGCTTATTTCGGAAAATGTAGTCAATAAATTAGGTTAATGTGATATAAATCACATAAAGATGATTCTAGAAGTAGATTGTAAGTAAATAGTTGTTCTCCATCTTTCAATGTTATTTTGTCTTTCCATCAATAGACAAAGGCTGTATTTATTTATCTTTGAGCTTCCAGCATAATATCTAGAACATAGTGGGCATTCACTAAATATTTGCCAAAAGCATAAATAAATGAATGGAAATAGACTTGAATCTCATATTACTTTTTTAATTCTTGTCATATTAACAATGCTTGCTCCAAGTTGCAATTAAGTACCTTGATAAAGCAAATGTATCATCATATAATGTGGCTCACTATCTTCCTCAATGATTTATTATATGTGTCATTTTTAAAATTAAGATCAGAGAACATAGACCATTAAAGCCAGCAGGCACCTTAGAGAACATTTGAGTCCATTTCTTTATTTTAGAAATAAGAAAACAAACAGGTCCAGAAAGGCAAAGAAACTTTTAAATTAACTGCAAATCACACTGCTTGTGGACGAGCCAGGACCAAACCCTGTTCTCCTGGTTCCCAGGCCAGTCTCGTTTAATTACACCATGATAGGTGTCCATGCCAAGAACTCTAGAGTTCTGAGAGCTGTCTTTCAGTCTTCTTTATTATGGTGTTAAGTCAATCGATATACTTCCTTGAATACTACTTTGCTCATTTCTAAAGAAAAAGCAGTAAATTTCATCAGACTTCAGAGTATGTTATGTAACTAACTACATGTGACTTCATTGCATACCTTATTATTGTTTATTGCTGTGAGTTATTTATCAGCACTTAATTGTTTATTTCAATATGCCAGGTTTTTTTTTTTTTTTGGTGAAGAAGATTAGCCCTGAGCTAACATCTGTTGCCAATCCTCCTCTTTTTGCTGAGGAAGATTGGGCCTGGGCTAACATCTATGCCCATCTTCCTCTACTTTGTATGTGGGATGCCCGCCACAGCATGGCTTGATAAGCGGTGCATAGGTCCGTGCCCAGGATTCGAACCCGTAAACCCAGGGCTGCTGAAGCAGAGTGCGCAAACTTGACCACTATGCCACTGGGCCGGCCCCATATGCCAGTTTTATATTTATTTAGTGCCCAATCTTCTAAGAATATTGAAAAATTATCAAGACATATTCTTATTCATTTTATGTATAATCAGAACATTTGATCACAGATGTATAAGATCATTGTCAATAATTTGAAATACTAGTAATGAGAGAATATGTTGCATTCATAAGGACATTTTTAATCTCATTGTACCTTCCTCCAGAACTGTAGTTAAAGCATTATTCTTAGAGATGTAAATGTAAGTTATAGGAACTGGCGTTATTCATCTATTCAGATGTCTAGACTTGTAGATGACTTTTCAAAGAATTTCCTTGAGCCACCTTATTTTATATTACTCCTTAAAGCTGCTTCTCTATTGTCATTATTGAAAGAATATGATTGTATAATCAGACTCTGTCAGCTGGGATAAGGATTATTTTAGGCTCATACTGTGTTAGCCACAGACATTTTCTGATAAGAGGATACTGGGCATAATTATAGAGTAACATAACATTATACTTATCCATGACTTCAAATGAAAAATCATCCCAGATAAATGTAAATACCGTAGTTGAATAAGACTTGATGCCTAGCCGAATTCATAATTACAAGTAGATTCAATCCACGGATGTTGATCAAGGGAAGTAGAAATTTTGAGAATGAGTAAAATTTTAGTGTTTGTGGGTGTGGATGTTAGTTCTATAATGTGTTTTAGCAATTATGGTAAAAGATCTCAGTGGCACCGGTTTGTTTGCTGTAAAGAAGTGAGCTGTCCATTCAAAACAAGCTATTAGCAAGAGCAGCTGGCAAGTTTTCAGGTTTAAATTCATAAGTAAACTTGCAGACTTCTCGTAGCTAAGCAGAAACCCCAGTAAATAAAATTTACATTTGTTGTAGTCTCCACCATTTCTTCAAAGTGCAAACCAATGCACTATTCCTTTTTGACTCTTCATGCCCGGTATTCTGTTTTTAAAGCCATTTCCCCAAAGCTAACTGTTTTCCAACTATGAGCTTCTTCCTCTACAATCTCTCTAAAAGACAGTTTAAATTAATATAGGATTAATGTAATATGTAAAATCTAATTTATTTGTTTATCCATTTGTTTACTAACATTGGGTTGAGGAAAACTTTGTCTAAAGACTTTTGTCCACATTGGTTTTGTTGTAAATAGGTCTCAGACTTCCCTACACAATGTGGAATAAACGCTTTGAGAGATGGACTGTGTCTGTGGTTCCCAGGCACGTTTCAATGCCAGGATATATTCAGCCAATAAAATGCTTATACTTACTTTGTGGAGCGCTGTGTGCTTTGGAAGTGTTTCCATCCCAAACATTTAACTACTGGTGATAAGACCATGGAAACTTTTAGTACCACTGCTCTCCACTCCCTCTCCCTCCTCTTAGCAGAACAGACCAGTTCTTCAGGGCCAAATCTATGAGCTTACAATGTCCCTATTGAACCGAAAAGATACTCATATCATACATAATACTTCTTTTGTTTACCCACCTAAACTATTCATTATCATGAAAAATACATCTAACAGAATCAACAGAAAGAAAATATGTAGAATTCTTGTTTGGGAATCTAGTAATACATACAAATTTAGAAATGCTGTCCATTTATTTAGATACCACAAGATCAATTTATACCTACATTTATTTGTGCTTTCGATTCATACTGGAAATTTTCAAATGTGTATTTGTCAGATCTTCTTTGTCGCATCTTAAATAGTCTGGCACCGCGGTTACTGAGATGGGATAACTCTTCCAACATGATGTCTTTGGGGATGCTGACCTTTTTGCCCAGGTCTATGCCATCTACATCTGTAAAACAATATTCACGTGCATGAAAACCTCAAGGCAAGTATTTTTAAATGCTTCGCTACATTCCATGATTTATTGTCTGCTGTCTGCTAGTCTGGTGACTAAGATACAGGCTCTTTACTTAGACTGCCTTAGGTTGCATCCTGTCCACAGCTTTCTAACTCTATGAGCATAGATACGCTACTTATTTTTTCTAAACCTCACTTTCCTCATCTCCAAAGTGGGGCTAATAGTAATAATACCTACCATATAGGGTTGATATGAGGATTAAATAAAATGCTTCATGTAAAGCGTTTAGTATCGTACCTGGCACGTAGAAAGAGTGAATGAAAGTTAGCTAACGGCACTATTAGTAGAATCTAGACTTTCTGTATTTGGTGAGTTTTCGAATAACACTGCTTTAGAGTTATCTTAATAAGCTCTGTTTTGCTCCCCACGTTTTTATGTATCACTTTTAGCTGTCCTTATTACCAGAATGCCTATGCTTCCACCCACATCACCCTATTTCTCTGTCTCTGTGAAAATACCACTCAATCTGCATCCAGCACCAAGGAGCCTAGCATAAAGTAGGCAGAAGATAAGTTCTGAAGGAACAAATCCTTCTCAACTCAGCTTAAGTGCCATTTCTGTGAATCCCTTTTCTAAAATTTCTATTCATAATTATTCATGCCTTCTCTGTGTTCCCATAGAACTGAATCACAATTACTTGATTCCATTTTTCTTATTTTACAGTTTGCATTTTTCTTTATGTTTTAGTCTTTATGACCCCCATGCCTTAAGTATAGGAGATGTTCAATAAATGAGTGTTATTTTCTGTTTCTAGTACTGAAGGACTTTTCTAAAATCCAAAAGAGATGAAACTTCTCCACTCCCTCCTTTAACCAGAAATATATTCCTGCGAAAGCCACCGAGTTCTTTTGCCAGTGTGGACTGCTGTTAAATGCACAGGAAGAAAAATTGGACCATCATTAAAATAAATAATTATTCTGATTGATTGGGACAACATTTTTTGATGATGTGACAAATTAACCCTAATAATTAGGCTTTTGGAAGTTTTTAGAGATAAAACAACAGAATTATTTATTAAATTTTCTCCCCCTTTTGCTTTGAAAAAAATCAATTTGTTGACATATTTTGGCTTTACATGGAGAAGAGCTCCACTAATTATAAAAACTATAATGTCAAGACTTCCGCTTCTAAGAAGATAGAGTAGGTATACTTTTCCCCCATACTTCTACTAAATACAACTAAAAATCCTGGATGTTACGTATAAAACAAACATAAGAAGACTCTGAAAGTTGGAAAGAAGAAGCAGACCAGCAAGGGACCTTAGGACCCAAGGAACAACATGGTGGTGAATTCTCTGGGTTTTCTTTTAGCCTCCTTTATCCCATTTATAGCTGAAAATGCTAGCAACCCAGAAACGCCAACAGGTACAGACAAAAAAAGCTCCAACAGAAGACTGTTCTCTCCCGGCAAAAGACCAGTAAAGGAGCAGTCTAACAAGACAGAAAACTTTTAGACAATAGCCACTCTGCTTCAGCCAAATACCACAGAAAAAATCTTTGGCCTCTCCCCTCAACAAAGCCTCTGTGGAGAGCCCAGAATTTTACCCTTGTGAGGCTGTAACAAGGTCCTCCAATACTCCCACAGGGATGGTATAAAAGAGGTCAACCAGGAAGCTGGAACTTTCATCTGCGTTGGCCAATAACAGCCCTCCCTGCCTGCAGTGGTAGTGGAGACCATGTGGGGATCCCAAACTCCTGCCCCCTCCTAGCAGAACCTAAGAGCCCCCCCTTCAAGTTTCAATGGGGGCCAAGTGGGGAACCTGGACTTCTACTTCCCCCTGGCAGTGACAAGGTGGCACTCTCCTCCTCCTGCTGAAGCAGCATCAGACTAGGATAGATGAAACAGAAGGCTTAAATAAGAGCAAGAGTCTCAGAACCTAATATGAAAATTTTCAGCTCAAATAAAAAATCACTTGCCAAGCAAGAATCAGGAGGATCTCAAACTGAATGAGAAAAGACAGATGCCAATACCAAGATGATTGAGAAATTAAAATTATCTAACAAAAAATTTAAAGCAGTTGTGATCAAAATGTTTCAAAGAGCAATTACAAAGCTTCTGGAAACAAATGAAAAAAAATATAGAAATCTTTAGCCAAGAAATAAAAAATTGTGGCAGAGAAATAAAAGATGTAAACAACCCCATGGAAACTTTAGAACTAAAAATACAATAATTAAAATTAAAAGTTCAGTGGATGGACTCAATAGGAGGATGGAGGGGACAAAGGAAAGAATCAGTGAACTGTGCGACAGAACAATAGAAATTACCCAATAAGAACAAGAGAGAAAAAAGAGACCGAAAAGAAAAATGATCAAAGCCTTAGGGATTTGTGAGACTATAACAAAAGATAGAGCATTTGTGTCATTGAAATCCCAGAAGGAGAGAAGGAGTCTGGGGCTGGAAAAGTACTCAAAGAAATAATGGCTGAAAACTTACTAAATTTGGCAAGAGACATAAACCTACAGATTCAAGAAACAGAGAATATCCTATACAAGATAAATCTATAGAATGCCACAACAAGACATATCATAAACTTCTAAAAACTAAAGACAAAGAAAAAATCCTGAAAATAGCCATAGAATAATGACAACTTACCTGTGGAAATAAAATAAAAATGAGAATCACAGTGGAATTCTCATCAGAAATCATGAAGGCCAGAAGGAAGTGGCACAAAAGTGCTGAAAGCAAAGATTTGTCAACCCAGAATCTGATACCCAGTGAAAATATCCTCTAGGAATAAAGCGGAAATTGAGATATCTTCAGATGATGGAAAACTAGGGGAATATGTTACCTGGCGACCTACTGTAAAAGAATGGTTTGGGCTGCTATAACAAAATACCACAGACTGGTGGCTTATAAACAACAGAAATTTATTTCTCACAATTCTAGGGGTGGGAAGTCTAAGATCTGGGTGCCAGCATGGTTGGGTTCTGATGAAAGCCCTCTTCTGGGTTGCAGACTGCTGACTTCTTGCTGTGTTTTTACATGGTGGGACAAAGGAGCTCTCCAGGTTCTCTTTTGTAAGGACGTTAATCTCATTCATGAGGGCCCCACCCTCATGACCTAATCACCTCCTAAAGGCCTCATCTCCTAATACAATCATATGAGTCATTAAGATTTCAACATGTGAATTTTGGGGGGATACAAACATTCAAACTATAGCAAATAGCTAAAGGAATTTCTTTAAACAGAAAGGAAACAATAAAAGAAGGAACTGTGAAACATCAGGAATGAAGAAAGAATACAGCCAGCAAAAATGTGGGTTAATACAATAAGCTTCTTTTCTCCTCTTGTTTTCTAAATTATGTTTGATGGTAGAAGCAAAAAATATAACACTCATATAATTATAAATGTATTTAAAAGAAATATTTAAGACAATTATGTTAGTGACAAGGGAGGGTAAAGGAACGTGAAAGCAGGTAAGGTTTATACACTTTACTTGAACTGATAAAATGGCAACATCAGTAGACTTTGATAAGTTATGCACATATAATGTAATACTTAGAGCAACTACTAGAAGCTCTACAAAAACCCTTGAAAAAACTATAGATAAATAAAAATAGAATTCTAAAAAATGTTCAAGTAATCCTATAGGAAGGTGTGAAAAAGAAAACAGAAATTAAAAACAGAGATAACAAACAAAACAAAAAAATAAGATGATGAACTTAATCAGTAATTACATTAAATATAAGTGCTCCAAATACACCAATTAAAGGATAGAGACTGGCAGATTGGACTAAAAAACATGATCCAACTACATACTGTGTACAAGAAACTCACTTCAAATATAGTAATATAGGCAAGTTGAAAGTAACAGGGTGGGAAAGGATATATCAAGCAAATATTAATCAATGGAAAGCAGGAGTGGTTATATTAATATCAGATAAAGTGGACTTCAGAGCAAAGAAAATTACCAGGCACAGAGAAGGACATTATGTCATGATTAAGGTGTCAATCCACCAAGAAGCCCTAGAAGTCCTACAGGCGTACACACCAAAAAACAGAGCTGCAGATGGAGCAAAAACTAGTAGAACTTAAAGCATACATAGACAAAATCCACAATCATAGTTGGAGACTTCAATATCCCTTTCAACAAGTGATAGAACAACAGACAGAAAATCAGCAAGGATATAAAAGAATTCAACAATACCGTCAACCAGTAGGATCTAATTGACATTTATAGAATATTCTACTGAACAACAACAGAAAGCACATTCTTTTCAAGTGCCCATGGAACACATACCAAGATAGACCATTTCCTGGGCCATAAAATAAACCTAAACAAATTAAAAAGAAATGAAATTATGCAGAGTATGATCTCTAGTCACAATGGAATCACACTAGAAATCAGTAACAGAAAGATAAGAGGAAAATCTCCAAATATTGGAAACTAAACAACAGACATCTAAATAATCCATGAGTCAAAGACAGTCTCAAGGGATATAAAAAATTCATTGAACTGAATGAAAATGAAAATATAGCATATCAAAATTTATCCGACACAGATAATGCAGTGCCGACAGGGACATTTATAGCAATAAATGCATATGTAAAAAAAAAAAAGGAAAAGTCTCAAATCAATTTTCTAAGCTTCCAACTCAAAAATCTAGAAAAATAAAAGCAAAATAAACCCAAAGCAAGCAAAAGAAGAAAATAAGAGCACAAATTTAAAACAGAAAAACAATAGAGAAAATCAATTAAGCATGGACTTGGTTTTTGAAAAGATCAATAAAAAATACAAATCTGTAGCTAGAACGACACACAAAAAAATATAGAAGACACAAGTGACCAATATTAGGACAAAACAGAGGCTATCACTACAGATACTGCAGATAGCAATGGATAATAAGAGAATATTATGAACAACTCTACACGTCAATTTGAAAACAGAAAAAATTTACCAATTCCTTGAAAATCACAAAGTACCACACCTC